CGGTAACACACAGAAAAATCCCGTTGCAGGTACCCAAAAAATCATTGTCACCACGTACGCCAACATTATCAATTAATACAGCAACATCGTTCTTGACCATCATCGGCTAAGTTAGAACCTTACTGGAATAGATGACAAACACTGAGAACAACAAACAACTGTAATACGTGAAACCTTTACCTGCCATTTCTTTCTTTGTACACAAGTCTATCGTCAATCGGATATGACATCTAATCGTTGTTTGTACTATCGCTAATTGTTTTCTGACTACTAAAATTTTAGTCAGGTTTCTTCCAGTAAGTTGTAACCTACTATTTATTTATCTTTTTTTTTTCTAGTTTTCACTTCTGTTCCCTCATCGACAACAACCAATGCCCAGAAAAACAGCCATTCATTAGGGATGGAAGATTTCTGTATCTGTCGATTCGGCATCCAATTTTAATCCAAGTAAACACCAGTAACAGTTATCAACAAACAAGCAAACATTTCACGAAAGAACTGTAACGAAGAAATACGAAAACTGAAGAAGAAAAAAGACCATATTAGCTTCAACTTTCTTTCTTCTTTCTGCAAGTTTAATAGAAGACAGGGACAAAAAAAGTGTTAACGACGAAGTGAAAAGTTGGTAAATGATCAAAGAAAGCACAGTAAAATCATATCCAAAAATCAAACAACAACTGACTGCTGCATGATTAACTGGTGAAATGTTTTCCCTGGCTTGTTAGAACACTGAAACAACGACGGCGACAACAGCAAACAGGAAATAAAGCAAGCTTGAGAGCCGTATACACTGATGTTATTCCCCTACTCGACGATACTGGTGTAATTATAAGACATCAAAAAAGCGTATACCAGTAGAAGGACAATACACATGTATTAGTAAAGATAATCACCAGTTCAGATATTCATTAAAAGAAAATAGCAAACCGTAAACGCATGATGACCGATGCACAATTTTTGCTAACCTGAATATTTTTGGTCAATAGTTATCATCTGGGATAAAATGGAACAAATAAAACTGTTACGCGGAAAACCTGAACTAAAACAACGAACTGCACCAACAATTTTAGGAGCCTATGTGCTAACCAAAGCATTATAGCATTGTTCTGAAATGCATGTTATTGCTTTTTCTTGTCTTCTAAATTTTACTGCTATCCGCTACTCTTAGTAACCATTTTTATCTTTTTCAAACAAAAATAACAATCTACTTATGCAGATAACGTTTATTCTCAACTGCTGTAGTGTTCTTTGTTGTCATTAGCATCACATCCTGAAAGACGTTGCAGAAACCAGGGGGTAGTCAATGATGATCATTGAAAAAGCTGGTTTCTTCTGATAGAATTACTACGGAATCCTCCCGCTTCAGTGGTTATTTCAGCAGGATTCATCTGCTGAATAAGCGGTAGTAAAATACAGGTTTAATATCGGAATACTACTCCGCTACAAGAATACAAAATTGTCGAGAAGCATACTGGTCAGATGTAACGAATAGCTACAGAGATATTACAGAAGTAAGAAAACATCTGAAGGACTGTTCCATCACTATCTGTGTCGGATCGGTTTTAAGAAATAAACCGGAAAGAAAAAACAAATGAAAACGACACATTTTTTTCACTCAGATTCTTTTCTCTCTCATCTTTTTAGAAGAATTGCTAGAATAAGCAAGAGCAAAAAAGATTGTACCTCGTTAGCAACGGTTAAAAGTCCAGCCTGAACAATTACAGAATGGACAGTACGAAGAAACTGGAGTAGACCATTTGTCTAATTCACAGTTTCGGTGACACCTTCCCTTTTTTTTTTTTTGTTACAAAGCTAAAAAAGCAGAAGAATAATAGACGAGAAAAAAATCAACAGGTCAGCAAATAGTCTTTTCTTTGGCAACAGTATTAAAAATACACTTTAACAGCAAACGTATCACTTCAAAAAGTTTTTTTTTTCTGCACTAGTTATACTTCGTTGAATGACCTTACCAAATTTTCAATTCCATTCCTTAACAATTATTAAAGATAAATTTGATCTGTATATACTGTCCTTTTTTTTTGCTTTTATTAGCTTTTCTTGTTATTTTTTCTATGTAACACCTCATTAATGTGACAGATATACATTGCAGACACAACGGATAAATAAATAGGATAAATAAATGTGATGGTCGCCAAAAAACTTTTATTTTTGGTCAAACATCTATAGTGTTAATATACAGCTAAAATAATTGTGTGCTAAAATATTTGCTTGCTCCACTGTTGAGACTACCAACGAGTAAGATAAAATTAAAAAATTCATAATTTTCTATTAGTATTTAAGAATCCACAAGCATACGCGCTCATTAAGTAACTGTTAAGCAGGATGACAGGAATTGGTATGGTTTTTATTTCACTGGATTATAACAACGACATTGATGATGGGTTAAAACAAAGCCTTGATAAAAAAATAATCTATTAATCGGATAATTCCGGTTGTTTAGTTGGTATATAAATTTTGCTGTTCGGAAATCAGTAAATAAAAATATTCTTCTCCTGTTCCTGTTGCTGCCAAATGCTTGATTATTCTTCAAACTCAGTTAACCTGCTGATAGTACAAGTAAAATTTAGGGAATTTACAATATAGTGCATATACAGTGCTGAGTAGAAGATGACACAAAAAAAATCAAAACATTTTTATGTTATTAAGCAATCATATATACTACTGATAGATTTTATCGGATACTATCAAAAATTTTTGAGTAGGATAGAGTTATCAGCACATATTTGTAAGATATAATTTTATTGACGATAATATTAAGAAAGTCCTGGAAGGTTCGTCAGAAATTGCCATCTAAAAAGATGTTT